CCAGTAGGACTAGCTGGAGGCAGGGAACAGAGTAGTTATACAAACACTAGTGCAATGCTCACTATGCTGCAAGCTCTATTCTTGGTAATTCATGTAGAGTGTGTGTGTGTGTGTGTCTCGTTTAATACAGCAACCCCATGAGGTGTAACAACATTTATTACTCCATTTAACAGATAGGAAGATGAGACACAGTTTAAAAGATCCCTAATTCACATAAATAGTAAGCAGTAGAGCTTGTGTGGGGTTAATCACGGAGGCTTGGGACTTAGTCCTTCCCCAGCTTGTCCTTGTAGCTGCCTGCAGGTGAGCAGCGCCTCAGGCTGCAGACTTTGTATTTCTTCCCTTTTCTCTGGTACTCAGCTTGGGACCCTGATGGCAGGTCTGGTGGTGGGGGAGATCATGCACAACCGAAATGGAGGGCCCATCATTGTACTCCAGAGAGGCCTGGAACCACCTGTGAACATCTGCATTTCACTGCCAGGAGACCCATCCCCAGTTGCAGACCCCGTGGCCTGGCCCTGTCCCTGTCACACTTGGCGGGTGGCCTTGGCTGTCACACTGTGTTGAGTACACACAACTGACCTTGTCTACAGTGCAAGAGGGTTTCTGATATAAACCGTGTCCGGGCTGAGTCCAGTCTAGTATTGGTGCCAGGGTTAGCACAGGCTCACACATTTCACTGTTGCTCCTGGGCTCTCCTTTCCACGTGACTCCTGGCTGCTGGTGCACCTGCTACCTCTGCTCTGCTGGTGGCTCCTGGCAGTGGACTTTGCTTGCCTTCGTTCTCTCTGGCCTGGGCTTAGCCACCGTCCCTCTCTTCACTTGTCCTGCAGATGAGCACGTTCTTGGTTTCTCTCACCAGGCTTTCTGCCCCACAGTCTGTAGGTGTCTGTGGCACTTTGTGCCCTACTCCTGATGCCATCCAGCCTGCCTGACCAGTGCAAAGCTCTTACTCCATGGTGCTGGTTGGTTTTCAACTATAGTCAAGGATTTCTGATCAACCTGTGCCCAGTGGATATTAATTACCTTTCTTGGGTGGGTGTCTTCTTGGGAAATTGTTACTGTTTCTCAGAATTAAAATCTTTTTTCTTTCTTGAAGAGAGGATCAAGGGAACCTGCTTGTAGCTTCCTGCTCAGACACCTTTGGGGGAGGGCATCTGTGGGACAGTTCAGGTCACAGGAGCAGTAGGACCAAGTGTGCTCATCAGAAGCATAGGAAAAACTCAGCACATCCACCACTGGGCAAGGGAAGGGCTAGGGAATGGAGAGGGAAGGACCAGACAGAAATCACATTTGATCTTGACCTTCAGAAACTCAAGTTGGGGAGAAAGGTATAAATATGCAAAATGGCACTTTTTTTTTGATACCGGGGATCTAACTCACGACTGTACACTTGTAAGGCAGGTGCTTATGCCGCCGAGCTAAATCCCCAGCCCTAAAATGGTACTTCTTTAAAAAGTAGAAAAATATTCTATATGGTGTTTCTCAATCATCTTGAAGAATATTATTTAAGAAAGTGAATCTAGCCTGACAGGTGGAGTAGATTGGCTCCCTGACCCATGTGGAGAATGCAGGACTGGGACTGAGCACGCTGGCATTCCGAAGCTCGGGTTCATTGGTCTATACCAGCCTGCCCCCTCCACAAGGGAAGTGTCTGTAGGAGCCTGCAGTATGATGTAAACTGGGTCTCAGCTTTTTTTTGACCTAGATCTGTGGTCCGACCCTCTCAGGCAGAAAGAGCGTGCTCGAAGGCTGGGCGCCAGGTCTTGCACTTGTCTGGGGCGTCGTGTCCTCACTGTGAGCAGCAGCAGCAAGTGCACTTGTGGTTCCAAGGCCGCAGACAGGAACCTGGCCTGCAGCCTCACAGGTTGCAGTGGTGACCCCACTGGCCCCTGCTCTGTGGCAGTGGTGGTGAGCAGTGTTCCCTAACAGCACACTTTAAAGGCTCATACAAGGCTCTGTGAGGGAGAGGCCAAACTAGGGTCATTGCCTCCACCTTGCAGACAATGCTGGTTTTAGGAGTTCCTGACCTCTCCCAGGATGCAGAGTCCCAAACTGACAAATTCCAGACCAGGGCTCAAGTCCTTTGTGGTGGTAAAATCCACAACCATGCAGTGATAGCCTCGGAGTAAATCTGACAACTTTTAACTTCCTTTCCTGGCCCTGTGTGCCCATAGTGGGTGAAGGAGGCCCCTCCTGCCTGGCTACTCTGGAAGGCAAGCACTCAGTGCTCTTACAACAAACAGATTATCCTATGGGTTATAAACTTTTTTTTAAAAAAAGATTTTACCAAAAACTTAAAAAAATTTTTTTGTTAGTAATGGAGGTTCAACACAGGGCTTTCACACTGAGCAACATCCCCTGCCCATTTTTTTTTTTTTTTTTTTTTAATTTTGAGGTAGAGTCTGGCTAAGTTGCCCCAGCTGGGCTTGAACTTGTGATCCTCCTGCCGGAGTCTCCCAGAGTGCTAAGATTAGAGATGTGCACCACCATGCTTAGCTCACTGAAAAATTCTTATTGGCCTTTTAGGTAGAATTTGCCAGGTAGAATGATGTATCATGTTGCTGGGAGCACACATGACCTCCCATTTGCTGATTGTGTGCCTGTACAAGGCTGCCTGTTCTGCACTTGTCTGCGGTATAAAACCTGCACCACGTTGTGGATGCCAGTGTTTGGGTCCTATTTGATCCCAGTCGTTTATGTTCCTGGATCCCAAACAAAAGTTTACAGTATCTGAGAGTTGATCTTTCTTAACTCTTACTCCTGTACCTTTGGCCTGAGGATTTCTTCTACCTCTTATGCAAGCACCCATGGGAATGGCACTCATTTCTCCTGATGCCGTGCTCCTAGCTCTGAAAGACTCAAGGGCTCTGCATGGAGCTGCCTGAAACCTCCGTGTCCCCATCCTCCCACTAATGTGGAGTGGAGTTTGTATTTAACCCGAAAGAGAGCTGGGCCGTGAGCATTTTCTGTCTCTGCCCTCTGCTATATTTTCGCTTCCCCTCCTTACCAGCCTAAACTTTCAGATGAAGACTCCCGTGTTCAGTCTTGACTTTCAGTACTGTGCATGGCCTGTACTAGGAGCTCAGTAACTGCTTGTCAGGTTGAGTTATGTACACATAAAGTTGGCCAGTGCCTCCTTCTCGTCCTCCTAGAGCATGAGAAAGTAAAATACAATTTTTCCTGCCATGTCCATATGAATGAAGTGGAAAGTGGCACATCTCAGGACTTGTGGCCACAAGATGGCAGTGTGACTCCACAGGGACCTTGCCTCCTGCAACTGTTGGTGTGGGGTGAACGTGACCTATCTAGTGTTGATTCCGCTTGGAAACCCGTTAGGGGAGTTGCTTCTGCAGAGTCACTCCAAGAAGTTTCATCTCTAGCATCCCCTCCTGAGCTGGGTGGTTACGGTGGGAGGGCTTAGAATTTTTAAGGCCCAGATTCCAGCACTGGTTCTGCCTTCTTGTCTCAGAAATGTAGTTGTGGGCGCTACTTCTCTAAGCCCCAGTTTTCTTATCCTGCAAAATGGTAAGTGTTTTACAGTGAGAAGGAGTCCCCCTCATCATGGAATATATCATAAGTGCCTACAGGTTTTATTATTGGGAATTCCTGTTTGCCAGCAGTCTCCATTTCCTCTCTGCTGCGTCACCTGTTTATACCCACCCCGGTGCTGCTCTGTGTCAGTGAATCATTGCCCCATTCTTGCCTTGTTCTCCAGCCTGTCCCATTTGCTCCCCAGCCCTCTGCCCTCTCTCCCTGTCCCCCCCCTCCCCCCAGGCCATGAAATACCTCAAGCAGTTGGAGTTTGATCTGTGTGGGGCTGATCCTGACTCCCGCAGAGGAGGTCTGTGTGGGCCCTGTTGTAATTATTTTGGCACCTTTGCCGGCAGCTTAGTAGACACTATAATACAGATAACAGCTATTGTTATTGATAACATGGCCGACCCTGTGCTAGTTTCTTGGCAGAAATATTTAACACTCAGAGCATCTTTGTGAAGGAGATATTGTTCCTCGTTTTACAAAGGAAAGGTGTATCAAGATGCTTTTGACTCCAAGCATTCAAAATATTGTGCTAAAATAAATTTAAGCAGTTAGAAAAGTTTGTTATACCACAGAGAAGTCATAGGGATTCTTGGTGATGTCAGCAAGAGTCTTCTGCTTGATTCCTCAGTGAATCGGTTTATCCTCTTGGGACTCCCTTAGCAGTGCCGATCGACATGGTCCCAGGCACCACTTGCAGGAGAGATGACATAGTTCCTTGTCCTGCTTTGTAGTGGCCTCTCCATAGATTTTTCTACAAAATTTTTCTGGGTCAGCTGGTTGTTAGGTTTGTTCCTAAGCCAAAGCTAGCCAAAGCACTGTGCTAATGAGCCTGGCTTCACTGGCCACAGTTCAGCCCCTGAGACTGGCGAGGGCCCGGGGGCCTTCCATACTCTGCCCAGCTGGTTAGGGAAGAGGAGGGGGTACAGAGGAGGCCAATGAGTTCTATAACCTGCTTAGGGTGGTAGCTGAATTACGAAGTTTACTTGAGACCCACACCTGACTCACCCAGGGGCCTTGTGTTGTAGTCAGACAACCACAGGTAGAGAAAGGCTTACTGTGAATTTGTGTGTGGTTTTAAGTGATTTTGGAGGTGCCTTTCCTGCTGAGTCTGGGTCCTTCTGTATTACAGTTTTGTTTCTTCCCAGCCTACCTTTCTCCTCTATCCCTTACCCACTGTTCCCTTCTGCTGGTGCCGTCTGTACACTTTAGACCATGAGCTCAGGAAGGACTGATCTCGGCCTCCCTGTGGAGGCCCTGCAGGAGTCATGTGGAAGTTTCTGCAGAGCAGTGAAGTTGCTGCAGAATCTTCAGGATCTAGCCAGGGAAGCTGCCTCGGGCTGGCAGGAGTGGGAGTTTGGGGTGTATCCATGGCAGTGCTGCCACATGGGCTGGGGTGTGAAGCAGTACCATGGAGAGTGCCAGAGTTGCACAGTGCTCAGGAGGGGTTTGCCTTGCAGATGCTACAGGACTGCCCCAAGGCCCGCAGGGAGGTGGAGCTGCACTGGCGGGCGTCCCAGTGTCCTCACATAGTGCGCATCGTGGATGTCTACGAGAACCTGTACGCTGGAAGGAAGTGCCTACTGATTGTCATGGAGTGGTAAGCGGCCTGTTGTGTGTCTGGCTGGCCTATCCCTGCCCTGCTCAGGAGCCCCACCCCTGAGGACACCCCTGCATGGACCCTGAGGTTTGGAATATAAATGCTTGACATCCTTGGGGGGGTGGAGTATGGTGGTGGGCTTTGTATTCTCCCACTTACACTGCAGCTTCTTCCAGTTTGGATGGTGGAGAACTCTTCAGCCGAATCCAGGACCGAGGAGACCAGGCATTCACGGAAAGAGGTAGGGAAGGCCTGCTGTGGAGTGGGCTGTGTGAGTGTGGTGCAGGGTACCTCTGCTTTTCTACTTGCTGTCTACCAGCATGGGTCTAAGCTTGTTTCTGGAGTAGAAGGGTGTGGGGGCTTCAGGCTGCATAGGGTTGGACAAGATGGGGGTTTGCAAACCTAGGAACACAGCTTTGTGACTTTCTTTTACTCCTACTTTCTTTCCTTTCTATAGAAGCATCAGAAATCATGAAGAGCATTGGCGAGGCCATCCAGTATTTGCACTCAATCAACATTGCCCATCGGGATGTCAAGGTACCAGCTGGGCCTGGATACTGGCAGGCCGCAGGGGTGGAGCTGTGGTCACCTGAGAGGGCTTGCCAGGGCTAAGCAGCGTCCTGCGGACAGAACAGGGCAGTGTGCCACTCTCTGCCTGAGAGGCCTGCTTTCTCTGCCCATGGTCAAACCACAAACTGGCAGTGTACCCTCTGGCCACGCCCAGACTGTGGTTCTCCCAGTCGGCACCCCACCATCACACCCTGGGCTTCTCTGCCCTTGTGGTGTTTACCACAGCCCCATGAGTTGGCCTCATCCCTCCAGATGTTCTGTCAGCCCTGGACAGGCAGGACGGGCTATGTGGGTGAGCACTTCTCGCCGTGTACTGTGCAGAGGTGGTTGGGTGGATGGCCACTCTTGGGGTCAGTGGGGTTGTTACTTACCTGTCTCTCTTTCTGTAGCCAGAAAATCTCTTATACACCTCTAAAAGACCCAATGCTATTCTGAAACTCACTGATTTTGGCTTTGCCAAGGAAACCACCAGCCACAACTCTTTGACCACTCCTTGTTACACACCATACTATGTGGGTAAGTCCAGAACTTTTCTTATTCTCCGTGTTGCAGAGCCCAGGGGTCTACAGGTCCAGGGAAGTTGTGTTCTCATGGGCCTTGCTGGTTCTGGCGGGACACACCAAGGAGTTGAGGGAGTCATCTGTTTGAGATTATGGCAGGATTTTGTCTGCCTGCTTAGTCTTCCTGAGAAAAACCATGGTCTCCATCACATTCTCCATAGACTTGGCTGCATTGTCGCAGCTGACAGGCACAGAATTGGTGCCAAAGCGTGTTTATGAGATGAAACAGACAGTGTAGGACTGACAGTAGCAGCTGGGGAAGGTTTTCATCTTAAGATTCTGCCCACAGGGTTCCTCCGGAGGAGGGTCCCTGCTCTGTTCTTCCCACCTTAGCTGCTGTCCATCGTCGCGGGATGCAGGGTTGGGATGGGGAACATTACAGAAAAACTGGGGTAGGTCTCAGTGTTCCCAGCACCAGGACAGTCCCACCCATGGTGACTTTTGGTTTGCAGCTCCAGAAGTGCTGGGCCCAGAGAAGTATGACAAGTCCTGTGACATGTGGTCCTTGGGTGTCATCATGTATATCCTGTGAGTGTACTGGGCAGGGGACCAGGCCAGGCAGGGCTGGGCTGTGCTAGGGCAGGGGCCTGGGGAGGCCCGTGCCTTTCCAAGACAAGAGGAAGAGGCAGCTGCTACCATTCCCCTTTCGGGTGGGGGATTCCCAGGCGATCCCCTGTGTGCCCCTGCTTTCTGTGCTTAGTGAGTTTTGACTGCCAAGCAGTGGGTGGAAACCAATGGGTTAGAAAGTGGTTAAGATTCTTTGTGTGTTAGGTTTCTGGGCCCTGTCCTTGAGTTTATGTTTTGTACCTATATGATGAGCTATAGCCTTTATAAGGTATAGAACTTATTTCTCATTCTATTTCTGATACAGGCCCCCTAAATAACACCTGCCTTGTCCCTCTCTTTCTGCCTCTTCTTGGCACAGGTTGTGTGGGTATCCCCCCTTTTATTCCAACCATGGCCTTGCAATCTCTCCGGGCATGAAGACCCGTATCCGAATGGGCCAGTATGAATTTCCCAACCCAGAGTGGTCAGAAGTATCAGAGGAAGGTAGGAACCCAGCCTTTGGAACAAGAGGAAAACCTTGTGTGCATGCGTGAGTGTGTGACATCTGTCTCATGCGGCTAGGTGGCCCTGCCTGTGTGGAACTTAAGCCAAGGCCTGGGTGAAGGCTGTGGGGGACTACAGAGTGGGGAGCACACGGGTCCTTGAGACCACTGCAGTGTGCCTCAGTGCCAACCCCTCTTGAGCCTGGTGTCCTTTGAAAACTGTGGCAGGGAGCAGAGCAGGGAGTGGCCCCTGAACTGTCCTTGTCACTCTCATCACCTAACAGTGAAAATGCTCATCCGGAACCTGCTGAAAACAGAGCCCACTCAGAGAATGACCATCACGGAGTTCATGAACCACCCCTGGATCATGGTGAGCCCAGTGTGCCAGGCGTGTGGGGAGTGAGGTCTGCAAAGACTGTCTTTTAGGCTGAGCCTTTGCTGGGTCTTTGTGTTTTCTGGCTCTCACTGGAACCCCTTGTTTCCCTAGCAATCCACGAAGGTCCCACAGACCCCACTGCATACCAGCCGGGTCCTGAAGGAAGACAAGGAGCGGTGGGAAGATGTCAAGGTGCGGGTACAGCTGGTGGGAGGGTGGGGGTGTGGCCCTGGCAGGCAGAGTATGGTGGGAGGATGCCAAGGTGGGGTGGCTCGAGCCGTGGAGGGGAGCCATTCTCATGTGTCTCTACCAATAAGAACAGCAACTGGGAGCCACTTCCCTCACCCCAGGGGTAGCCAGAGGTGTCACAACTTCGCTGTGGCTGCTGCCCTTACTCCGCAGGTCTCTAAGGGATATGAAGGGTCCTCTGGTGTAGTCTCCTTGTTTGGTACAGGAGGAAACCAAGGCCCAAAAGGGAGTGACCCATTTAAGTCATACAGCTGGTGACCATCTGGGACCCCCAGGGCTCCTGACTCCTCTAGGGTTCTTTCCCTGCAGGGTCCTGGGAGGGCTCTGTGGGTCCAGCCCTGGGTGACTCTGCTCACCTGCCCAGACGCACTAACTGGCCTGCCCTCTTCTTTCCTCATACCTGCCCTGCGCCTGCGCCCCGCCTGCCTCGCGTTGCCTCTCATACCTCTTCTTCGTGTTTCCCGCCCCTCCTGTCATTCGGCTTGCTTTTGCTTTGTGCCTTCCTTCTGCTGCCTCTGCCCCCAGGAGGAGATGACCAGTGCCTTGGCCACAATGCGCGTCGACTATGAGCAGATCAAGATAAAAAAGATCGAAGATGCATCCAACCCTCTGCTTCTGAAGAGGCGGAAGAAAGCACGGGCCCTGGAGGCTGCAGCCCTTGCCCACTGAGCTGCTGTGCCTCCCGCCCTGGAGGACGAGCAATAACTCTCTACATGAATATATTTTTTAAACGAAGAGACACAGACTGTCCACTTCCGCCTCCTCTCCTCCTCAGCTGCATGGAGCCTGGAGCTGGGTCCATAGCTGAATTCTGCCTTTGGCTCTGGCCGTCCTGGAGCTGGAGGGCCTGGGAGACTGTGGAGAGATGGGAGCAAGGTGCTCTCGAACCTGTGCTCATTTTGCAATATTATCAGTTATTTGACTTGAGTTTTTATGAAATCTTTTATTGTCCTTTACCCTGCCCCCCTTCCTTTCCACCGGACCCCTTTTCTCTGCTACTGCAAAGATCTGGTTGGGATAGAAACAGCTGCAGGGAATGTCCCTGTGTTGTCCCACCTGCCCTGTTTCCCACTCTAGCCCGGAGCCCCAACTTGTTCAGGCATTCTGGGAGCTCAAGGCCTCCTGGATAGGGGTGTCTGGAGCACTTGGCCCTCACCAGTGCATTGGACAGACAGGAGTGAGTGTGTGCATGTGTGCACATGCACGTGCCCAGACTTGTGCCAGGGACAGTGCATTCAATGGGCCTGGACTGGCAGGGCTCCAGAGCCTCTCCCTCCCTGTCCGTACTGAGCCTGCCTAAGTGCCTGGGACACTTGTCCAGATCTGGAGCCAGGCTTGCTAAGACTGCCTGGTAGCTGGGTTCCAGGGGCCGAAAGGAGTGACTGGGCACTGGCACAGCCATCAGGAAGACTGGACCCCTCAGGACCCCTTTCCCCTGTAGTGTAGTGCTGGTCCTTGGTCCTCAGAGGTGCTGAGCTTCTGAAGAGCCTCTGGACTTCTCCTTACCATGATCACCCATGCTTGATGATTTCCTTGAGGTGTTAGCCATTTCTCAGTGGGCGCCTCTTAGCTCACGCAGATGAGCCTGGGCTGCTCAGGCTGTGATGCTTTGGCATTTGTGCTTCTCTCCCGGCTCAGGGCAGCAGCCAGCTCTTCCTTGTGGGTGAAGGCAGGACCATTCTTTGTGACCCTTCCTTCCATCTTCATTGCGTGGCCTAGTGGATGGGGGCAGTCTTCGCACCAAAGATGTCCCGACTCTGCCCCTGTCCATTAGTCATTTTACTGTTCCCCAGCTCAGCCTGTGAGGAAAGGGGGCTCCCCGAGTATTGAGGAGCAGTGTGGGAGAGTCCTCTGTGTTATGTTCCCACATTTGCCCTCCCTTCTGGGAGGAAGGGGGTGGCACCTCAGGGTTGGTGGTGAAGAGGCATCTCGGTCCTTGGCCTGAGAACAGGGCCCTGGGTGCCTGCAGCACCTGCCTTGTCTGTGATGGTGTGTCCAGCACTCAGACTGTTGTAAACTGTTTTGTATGAGCAAAATTGTCTTTACTAAAACAGATTTAATAGTTGAAAGTTTTTCTTTCTCTTTCTTTCTTGAGGTTCAGGCCCTTGATCCTGTGTACTTCCTGCTCATGGAGAGAGACTGTGTGTGCTGGGGAAGAGAGAGTCAGTGCTCTGGGAGGTGCAAGGAGGCCTTTATGTTGGGGATGTGTCTGCTGTAGGGGAATGAGTGCTGCTCCCTTTCAAATGACAAGCAAGACCTGGGGACCTCTCTCTTTGCCAAATACTGACTGAATCCAAGCCCCTTTTTGGCCCGTTACTCCTGGGTATCCACTGCCAGGTGCTGGCACTGTCAGCCTGGCAGACTACCTTTGTGGGGTCCTCGGAGAAGGGTGTGATACTGAATTTGGTTCAGTCCAGGGAGACATCAGGGGGAGAAGGTTGGTGTAGTACCAGGGATCTCCAGGAGGGGGCGGTAGGGGCCCAGCAGAACCAAAGAGACCCCCCCCCCCCCTTAGGAACCAGAAGAGGCTTTAGGTTTCCCTGGACCTTCTCACCTATGGGTGGGAACTGAGGCTCTGGGTTGGTGTGAACTGAATTGCAGTACAGCCTAGAGCAAGAGCTGGTCCACCAACCCCATCACTGCCCCTCCCTGTCAGGTAAGGAGAACAGATCTCCTGGTTGGGTTCAGCTTGGGGCTGGACTAGGCTAGCTACTCATATACCCTGTGTGACATGCAGAGTTAGCCTGGAGAAAGACAAGCGAGGTGGCTGTTTGTCCCTGTTCTTGGGCAAGGAGACACACTTGGTGGTCACAGATGGGTTGGTTAGGAAGCAGCAGGATGGGATTGGGATCATCCAGATGGTCCTGGATAATCCTCTCCATGTAGTCCCTGCCCATAATGCCATCTGTAGACTCCTTTGCCACGTAAGGTGACAGCTACAAGCCCAGGAACTAGAGGTAGGCACAGCTGGTGTTGCTCAGCTGCCTTGTCCTTGGGCCCAATGTTGCACCCAGTATCTTGTTTCCTTGTTGGGGTTGGCCCAGCTCAGGAGGCTTTTGTGGCCAGTGAGACTCCAGCCTGGGCTTGACTTTTTGCACAGATGGCTGGGGTAGGGTTGTACTTCACTCTTCTCCACGCCCCAGTCTTCCATGCTGGCATAGCCCCAGGAGCTCCCATCTCTAACTTGAGCAGCTCCTGCTGAACTCTTAAATCAGGTGACACAGTAGCTCGTTCCTAGAAGAGGCAGGCACTAGCTTTCATGAGGTGGGCTTGGGGCCAGACTGGGTGAGTGAGTATTCAGATACCTGAGTGCTGTTAGATAGGAAGAGGGTAGCAGTCAGTCTGCAGTTGTCTGTGAGGAAACTCTGGCTCTGAAAAGTAGAAATTTGCCCAGGGTCTCACAACCTGGGGTGAATCCCTGCCATATTTAGAGCTCCTGTAGAAAGTATATGGAAGGCTGAATATACCAGGGGCAGGGAAGGAGGATAGTCCCACAGGGCTGGAGCAGTGCTCCCAGAGCCAGCTCCGGGCTCCGAAGGTGAGTGGTCTGAGCTGGGCTAAGTGTGCACGCTTTGCGGTGAGGAGGCAGTTGGGTTGGTAAACAATAACAGTAAATTTGGGGTTTTCCTTTGACTAGGTTGGAGACAGGAAATTCAGAGGGCTGTGAATGACGAGTGAGTAGGCTGGGCTTGTTAGAGGTGTGAAGAAAATTCAGTTATTCAAGGGAGGTGGTGAGGTTGGTGAGTGGGGGAAAGTGGCCTCCCACTGAGGAGATTGTAAACAAATGGTGCCTGGATTCCTGGGACAATGGGTGGAGACAGGAAGTTGAGGGGGGCAGCCTCTGCATCCTCAAGCCAGAGGAATACAACCTCTTCTGGATCTGTCTTCTTTGGGTACTGGGGTTTGAGCCCAGGATTATCAGCACTGAGCTATACCCAACCCCAGCCCAACAGCATCTTGCTGAGTTACCAAGTTGCCTAGGCTGAGCTGGATCTTGAGCTCCCTTTGCCTCAGCCATCCGGAGTGCTGGGTTCTAGGCCTGCACCTCTCAAAGCCTGCGTAGGGTCCCAGCAACTCAGCGAGCATCTGGGTGAGTTTGGGACCAGCTGCTCTTGAGAAGATCACCTCAGCTCCAAGTCTGGGGATTCGTTCAGTGACTGTCCAGCTCCTGTGCTTTGTCCAGCTCCTTGGGCTGGTGTGGAGAAGCTGCCTGACGCCACACCACTGAGCACCTGGGCCTTCTCTGTGCCCTGTGCTGAGGGAACGGGAGACCAAGACCAGGCCGTGCCCTTGGATACTTCTGGGAGAACAGAACACCTGTGTGCAGTGACAAGTGGCCTCCCTTTCTGTCTCCTGCACCATGCACCTGGACACTTACAGTGGTCCAAACAGAGAAGTATGTACCCCAAGCCCAGGCAGCACCAGAGCCTCAGGCCCTGGAAGTTTTGAGATAGAAGAAAGGAGTGACAAGAGGTGGACACCAGCTCCTCAGCCTGTTTGGAAAGCCCTCACATCCTGCCTTGGCTGCAGGTGCTAGTCCCTCCTACCCCTGCCCAGGTTCTGGAGGATTGAGCAAGGTCATGCTGAGATGTGGAGTGGTGGAGAAAGCACTATTCATATATATGCAAGTTTAGGCCAAGCTGTAGTCCACTCTTGCTGCAGGTCAGAGGTCTTCAGCCTTACCGCAGAGCAGAGATGCCACTCAGTGTAGGGAGCTCGCTGAGTCAGGTCAGCACCCAGGACCTGGGTGACACAGGTGAGAGACAGATTGGGTCCAGCTCTCACGAAGCTCCTTGCACCAGAGTGGGTGGCGTCCCTTGGCAGAAGGCAGGAGAACTGTGCTGAGGCAGAGGGGAAGCAGGTGGTGTGCAGACAGCGGGCTTACTGTCACTAGACCCTGGCAGCCCTTCCAGCTGGTGGTGAGGCACAGTTCTGCAGTATGAAGGAGACAGTGACACATAGGTAGCTCACTCCCATGGAATCGCCACTCTGATGTGTCTGCCACAGCCACATCCTCCCTGGGGCAGGTCCTTCTGTCTTCTGCTCAGATGGAACTGTCTGCTCTGTTCTTCAATTTGACCTTTAACTCAAAAATCTGGTTTACCCTCCACCCTGAGTGCCCAGTGGTTTCGGTCCAATTTCTCTTTGCTGTCCCTTCAACCTGGATTCCCATGAGAGCAATGGCTTCTCAAAATTAAAATTTGGGAACATAGTCTGGCAGGTTTTTCCCTCCGATTTTTCAGTTTGCTAATATTTAAAAAACCTTACAAAGTCATACTTTAGGCTTATTGTAGTTATGCTTTTTTTTTTTTTTTTTTGTCTTTGAGATATGGTATCACTATGCAGTTTCAGGCTGGCCTTGGGCTCACTTTGTAGCCTAGGCTGGTCTTGAACTTGCAACAATCCTCCTGTCTCAGCCTCCTGAGGGCTGGGATTACAGGAGTGCGATACCATGTCCATTTGTAGTTACGCATTTTGTGAATCATTATTGAAGAGGAGGGCTTCACGTGAAATTGGAGGCCCTCCTAGAAGAGCAGCATGAATGATCGGAGCTTCCTTGCTCGTGCCCCTGCCACTCATGAGCCATAGCTCTTTGCGGCCGTCCTCATTCACAGCCCTTGGGTCCCTGCACCATCTGTGAGTAGCTGTAAAGCCCTATGGCAATGGGAGTGGGGCAGATACTAACATTAATGTGCTCACACGTCTATCCTTTTTATGTTTCATGCACCAACATCTCAGACATGGGGTTATCTTGGAATTAATGTTTTTCCTCTAAAGGGAAGGATTATTGCTCCCAAGGTAAGTGACTTTCTTAAGCCTTTGGTCAGGAAGCCTGGGCCACGAGGCCTGCAGATTCCAGGTGGGGCCCACAGTGGAACCTGTGCCTGGTAAGTCATTTTTAGGGACCAGGAGGGGCATGCAAATACAGTCATTTGCATAACTTCCTCACTCTCAGGGACAGTGAAGTTTCCTACTCTCATCTCACACCCTTGCTGGGATTTGCAAGTGAAATATTAGGACTGGCTTTTCCCTTTGTCACCCCCCTCCCCACAGTGTGGCTACTAGGGCTCACGTGACCACACAGTAAGTAGTCTTCACCTCTGATCCTAAGAGTTTAGTCATCCCAGTGCCATGCCTGGTTATGCAGTGTCCTCAAAAGCTGTGCAGATGGGGCTGGGGATTTAGCTCAGCGGCATAAGCACCTGCCTTGCAAGCAGGCAGTCGTGAGTTCGATCCCTGGTACTGATAAAAGTGAAAAAGAAAAAAAAAAAAAAATTGATGTAAAAGCTGTGCAGATGAGTGCCCTGTCTGATGGCTCTGGCTCCAGCCCAGTGGTTGCTAGCACAGGCCCCTCAGTCTGAGCTCATGTCAAACGTGCTCTCGATCCTTGCCCAGCCCAGGCAGCTGTGGGTCTCTTGTTCCTCAAAACAGCTGGAGGCCTTTAGGGTAATAAGGCCTCTGGTTTCAGAATGAGCAGAGTGTTCCCCGTCCTTACCCCGTGCTTTAGAGACGTGTGGTTCTGAACTCACCAGTCAAAGGTTTACTTTTCAAAGAAACCACGATCTCTTCCGAGGCTGACACCAGACCTGGGTTAGCGGGTATCTGTGGTGCAGAGAGCTGGCATTTGCAGTAAGACCTAGAGGGGCTTGCAGTTTTCTGGCACTCAGCTGTCTCCTTTTCTGGTCATGAATATGTCCAAAGGAAATAGTCCTCATGGTGAGACTGGAACCCTGCCTGTCATCTACCCACCCCCCTGCAGGAGGGGCAGGAGGACACAGAGGGGACACTCAGTGGCAGTCTGTAAGGAAGAGGAAGAGGGAAGATGCTAAATACTGTCTGACATGATTCCAAAAGACAGCAAACTAGGGATAAGTGCTTATTATCTATTGAATGAATGAATGTGTCTTAAAAAATGCATGCAAGTAATTTAAGTAATTGAAACCTTATGCAACAGAATGAAGTTCCTCTTTAGAACTCCACATGCTATGATGCCACTTCTCTTCAGAAATAACTTGTAGCAGCTTGCCTTACATTGATTTTTAGTCAGTTGTTTCTGTTAACATATCTA